GGGTGCCCACCTCAAACCTTAGGTGCATGAAAAAAGCTGGAAAGAGTATTACATTTACATTTTTTTCCTTACTCCCTTTGGAAAAGTTTAATCTGGATAGGGTCAAGCCAGAGGACAGTAAGGAGGACAAGGAGAAGCACCGATACCGCTTGATTCCACGGACTTTCTCCAATTGGTTGCAGGCGTTCGCGATCTTCGTGAGTGTTATTGGCGAGAAGGTGTTATCTGGACGCTACTGGCGAGGCACATAGGGTTTATGGTGGTGTGGCCTGATTATGTTATGATGAACAATTTTTTCAGTGCAAGGGCCATCTATATGGTGGCATCATAAATATATTAGCCTTTGGATGCAGTTGATGACCTCTGCTTGGGCTGGTAACCAGCTTTTTCAAAGGGGAGCTGGTGGCTCTTCAACCTCGGGACCCTCAGCTAATAGAAAAAAATGGGTATTTTGGCAGTTTAATGAAGGAACATGTAGTTTTGGAAATTCATGTTGTTTCCAACATGAGTGTTCCGGATGCAGAGGTGGTCACTCCCTCTTCCGCTTTTTTAAACAGGGAGAAGGACACATGACGTCGCTGGAAAAGGAAAAGCGACGTCCCTGGAAAAAGGAAAGATGCCGTTGATGGTGCAAAGGATGCTGCCATTCTAGATATGCGTATCGGGAGGTGGCTTGGATATTGCAAGTGGGTTTTAGGGAAGGTTTTCGTATTCTGTGTGAGTTGAAGGGGGCTCCACCTATTCTTGATAATTTGCATCTGCCTCGGCCTCACCAGGAGGTGTTGACGGAGAAATTGGAGAAGGAGGTTCTGCTGGGACAAAAAAAAAGTGTCCCTTTTCTGCCACCACCTTTGGAGGGCCTTGTGTTGTCGTCATTGGAGGTGGTACTGAAAAAGGAACTGGGTAAGCTTTGCCTTATTCATCACCTGTCTCATCCCAAGGGTGGTTCATCGACCCACTTTCTTGTGCTGTCACTTATGTCTTTTGATGTGGCTATATTATGGGTCCGCAGGTATGGTCAGGGATTGCTGCTGGCTATGTTGGATTTTGAGGTCACTTTCTGTCTGCCCAGAGAGTTTTTACTTGCTGGGTTGCAGGTGGCAAGGGTTGTTCTTTATTGATCGCTGCCTACCCATTGGATGTTCCATCTCATGCACACTTTTTGAGAAATTTAGTTCATTTCTTGAATGGGTGGTTCGGAAAGTGACTGGATTGAACTCCATCATTCACTACCTGGATGATTTTTTGTGTAGCGGGCCACTGGATTCCAGGATCTGAGAGATTCTGCTTCAGTCGTTGCAGCATATTACGGATCGCTTTGGAGTTCTGTTGGCCCCTGAGAAAACCAAGGGCCCATCCACAGCATTTGTTTTTCTAGGGATTACTATTGACTCTGTAGCCATTGTGGCAGTGCGGTGTCCTGCCACGGCCAAAATAATGCTGAAAACCCTGGATTCTCAACCAGGCAGGTTGAGGGGCTCCAGAGAGTTGATGGATTGCAGAGGAAACTGGCTTTTCAGTTTCCTCATTTACTCATTAAGTCTGTTTTGGGATCTGGAGCCTGGAGATTTCAAAGAGATCTGGGAGGGATGAAATCTCCAATCCGGGGTCCGTGTTTTTGAGAACCCCCACTAAGTGCACAGGTGTGTACAGGCCTTTTTATAGAGTCCTAACCATAGTTCTGGGCTCCACCCCGGCAGTTAGGAGTCAGGAGGACTCCACCCCCGGCAGAGAGGAGTCAGGTGGGCTCCAGCTAGGAGAGGTGAAAGCCAGACTAGCTGTGTGCTAAAACAACCCAGTGGAAGAAGTCTGTAGGAGACAGATATAGAGCGGTATAGCTGAAAGAGCCAGAAGGCTGAATTGTTTGGTTTGATGTTGGATACCCCTGTGTGGGAAGCATTTGTGTTTCTGGAACTTTTTCCTTTAAATAAAATTGGGCAAAAAGGCCCTTAAAAAAGAAGCGAGTTGCTGTGTGCTTTGAAGAAGCTCTACCACTCTGAAGCAAGTTCCCACACCATATAATGTTGTTTACACCCTGACAAGTTTGGGGCCCTGAGAGCTGAGGCACATAAAAATTTGGCTTCGGGAATTGCAATCCTTGCTTGGTAAACTGGATTTTACATGTAGGATTTTTCTGATGAGTAGGATATTCTGTTGCTGTTGGCCGCCATGGCAAGTGTTAGCCATTCACAGCATTTTGTCCGGCTATCATTGGAGCATGAAGCTAACATTCAGGTTTGAGAGACTCCTGTACTGTAACAGGCGGTTATTGTGGATGGAGGAACCTGTTAGCAATGTGGATCTGGAGCTTTTCACTGATGCAGCAGGTTCAGCTGGGTACGGAGTTTACTTTCAAGGGCGCTGGACCGCTGAGCCATAGCTGAAGGAATGGTGGGCTTCCAAATTTCTGAAAAACCTTGTGCTTCTGGAACCCATTGTTCTGGTGGTGGAACTTTGGGGTCCTGCCTTCATGAACAAGAAGATTAGATTCCATTGTGCATCTTCGCGCCCATCATTCGACTCTTAGGTTATTTGGTCCTGTTATGTTTGCATTTAAATGCTTTTGTTTATGCTGTTCATATACCTGGTTCATCTAACAAACTATCCGATGCCTTATCTCACTTTCAGCGGGAGAGTTTTGATTTTTTGCTCTGGAAGTGGAACAGCATGGAGTTTCTTGTACTCGGCGAATGTGGGAGATTGCGCTGGAGTCGCCACTGGACTGATTCGAAGTTCTCTGTCGGCTGCTACATGGGAAGCATATTCAAAAGTATGGCAGGAGTGGTTTTCTCGGCTGAAAGAGGTAAGTGATGGTGGATCAGATGCAGGGGCGGACTGACAACTCATGGGGCCCCTGGGCAATAGGGGATCATGAGGCCCCTTTGTCCTTGCCCAAACTCAAAAAAGCCTATGAAAAAGGTACCAGGGGCATCACATGGGGCTCCCTACTGACCCCAGGCCCTCGGGCAGTGCCTGAGTTTCCAAATGTTCAGTCCGCCCCTGATCAGATGTTGATATGGGTTCAGTGGTTCTTTAGTTCGTCTGCCGCAAGTTTGTGCGTTAAGGTAAAAAAAACCTTCTGCCATACTACTGCAGTAATCATTTTTCCCCTGAAGGGGCAAGTCTGTGGCATGGAAGAAATATTCTCCATATTCAGCCTGCGTATGCAAAAGTGCCCTTATTACAAAGGCACTAAGGGGTCTATGTGTAAAATATTGCTGTGCAGATGTCTTAGAGTGACACTAAACTCTGATTTAAAAAAAATATATATTCCATTGAAGTATGTATTCCTAACCCAAAAAAGTTTCTTCTGTTGCTCTCAGCCTCCTCCAAAATCCTATCTTTTGCTGCTGTGATCTGACTTCTTATTAGGTGTCTACATTTGTTCTTCATGGTCTCACTGTAAGAACATAGTTACCCTCTCATTACTGAGATGGACTGGGGACTATGGATGTAGGACAGACAGTGCACATAACTGCACTGCTTGTTGGTGAGCCATGTAGGATGGCAAGGAGGCGGAAAAACGATTTAACTATATAATAAAATAGATTACAGGCCCATTAAGTAGTGGATGTTTATGAATTATATTTGAGAAAGATGAATAAAGTTTAAATGAGGAATTATCCGATGTGCTACCACTCAGTTAGAAACCAGAAATAATAAAACTTAGAAATAATGGAAATGAGCAGCTGCTCACATTAAACATATGTATCCTCAAATAGATACAGGCTAAACAATGTGGTGCTTGCGCTAATAATTAACCATACACAATATTTAGTAACAGGGATAATATCCTTCCAGAGTTAATGTGATTTGCACCAAAGATAATCACTTATAAGTGGGAATTAATACCACAGTCTCAGTGTTATCAGTGAAGTCCTTATTATTCACTAAAGCGCTGTCAATAAATGTCCAAGCAAACATAAATTAAACTTCAAATCCAATGTCAGATATTCATAAACTTCCTAATCCATGTGATTCTGTCAATAGCTGATCCAAATGAATTCACTCCACTTTGCTGTACTCACAAACACCGTGCTCCACCTATGTGCACAGTGGCCACTCACCTTAGACATAGACCTATATTTTCTATATTAGCGCTTATATGAGAAATCCTCATGCGGTTCTCCATTCCTGTTACCGCACCATCAATCTCCACTTTTCTCCTCAACATGCCCCAGTAACAGCAATCATGCAAATACTGTATAAGAAAGTCTTCCATAGTGTAAACCAATATAAAACCTGCTTTGATTCCAAAACATACACTCACATTTATACAGAAACAGCCACAAATGAGTGTATGTGCATTAAGATCAATAACTGTGGAATAGCATTGTGTCATTAGTCATGTGACTTCTTCAGGGATCAAATTGATCTTTGAAGAAGTTGTGTGAGCAGTGACTCAATGGAGTGGGGTGACATCGCTTTCGGTTGCAGCCGAGACTGGAAATCTTGGTGAGAGGCCACATTGTTTATGCATTCAAGGATAAAGTTTAGAGTATAAAAAAATAGCAAATTGAAAAAAATAATATAGCATATACAGTTGCTATACAAGCCTTTTGCAAAGTAATGTTATATAAATTACCTTTCCTGTTCAAATTGCACCTCTGTAAATTATTGTAAAATGCAATGCAATATGGAAACCTGGAGGCTTTCTATACACAGTTGGTGTTCAGAACATCCCCAGAAATGTAATTTCCTGCTTGGGGGCAGAACTGTACATTAAGAGACAAGTCAGGTTTTAGGCATCTTCTGCAACAAAAATATCAATTTTGGTTAATTAACTCTAAACGGGTGCTGACACGACAACTTTTCTCATTCGAAACCTGAAAGTGCACCACCTAATTAAAATAAATTAGTCACTCCCATTCAGAATCAGTATCCAAAGGGCAAACAGCTTTTTCTTTAAAGCAGAAATAGGTAGGAATCTGCAACAAAGTTTGTTAAAATCCTTGCAATGTACATAGATTGTTTTTCTACAACAAATGTGGTTTTACTCTTTAACGACTTCCTGTCCGACCCATGTACATAAACAGCCAGATGGGAGCAGTGCAGGAGTGGGTTGCCATTCATAAACGGCGCCCGCACTTCCAAACTGTGCGCGCTCCCTGGGAGCACGCGGAACCACGATCCGGTGCCCGGTGTGAGGTTCCGATTCATGTGATCACTGATTGGCCAATCAGTGATCACATGAATAGTAATGAGCAATATGTCACTTCTGACATCATTGCTTACTACTTGTGAAATATGTGAATGATCACAGAGGTCACATGGTACAAGGCTATTCACAACAGCCGTATACCATGTGACAAGCTGTGACCAATCACAGCTCTCACAGTATTTCTCAATGGCTGCAAGAATGCAGCCAGAGTGAAGGAGAAATGATTGCTTTTACAGCCTTTATGGGTGTAAAAGCAATCAGTGTAAAAAAAAAAAAATCTTCATCACCCCCACAAGTAGTACAGTGTCACTATGGTGACACTGTACTACTAAGGTGACAGTATGCTAAAAAAAACTCCCAAAACATTAATAATATAAAAAAAAATGTAAAAAGAAGATAGAAAAATTATCCTTTTTGGTTATAATCTAATTTGAGCTATTTCTTTTTACTAAAAAGATAACTGAATAAATTTTGGCCAAGATTTATGAAGAAAGATTATTTATTTGCAAAATGTTATAAGAAAAACACTTTTTTTTTTCAAATTTTTTTTACTATTTCATTTATATAGCAAAAAAAAAATAAAAATCCCAGTGGTGAATAAATACCACCAAAATAAAGTTTTATTCTGTCTCAAAAAAAAAATGCTAAAAAATTCATATGGGTACAGTGTTGCATGACCACGCAATTGTCATTCAAAATGTGATAGCACTGAAAGCTGAAAATTGGCTGGACAGGAAGGGGGTAAAAGTGTCCGGGCTTGAAGTGGTTAAAGAGGAGCTCCAGTCTCCCCTCAACAAAGTAAAAGCCAGCACTGTAGATGCTCACTTTTCTTAAAGGACACTTATCTGTCCAGGGATCCAGCGCTGTCCTCACCCGAGCCAATTCTTCCTTCAGCTTCGATTCCAGGAGCAGGCATCTTAACTAAGGAAACCGGTTTCTCAGTGTGTATGCATGAGTTGCACTTTTTGAATGGTTCGGCAGTCTTCTGGGACCTGTCATGTCTCCCAGAAGGCTGCAGGGGAAGGAGGGGAAGCTTCTGCGCGGATCACCAAGGCAATCTGACTGGAAGTGGGAGTGGGTATCTGTCAAAACAAGGTATCTGCTCCCCTACTCCCAAAAAGTGCCAATTGTTAAAGAGGAAAGGGGAGGATGCAAACAAGCACAATTTCCCCATTTTGGTGAAGTTCTGCTTTATGCATTTACACAGGCACAAGGAAAGATTGCCATACCATTTGTTTTATGATTATCTTATATGATTGTAAGCTCCATCTGGTAGTCATAATGCAGTATTTCTTTTGACTGAGGTATTTCAGAAGAATACCATGTTATGGTCACTAGATGGAGCTGACAGGCATAGGAGATAATATATTAACAAACCAGAGGACAATCATTCATGGTGCCTGTTTGAATACTTAAGACACTAGCAAGACAATTATTGATACATAGACCTCTAAGAATAATTTTTTATATATGTAGTCACATATTTTTCCTTTTTTCTGACTTGATAACATTGTACCCATAGCATTTAGCTATTTATTCCCGAAAATCATCAAGAAAATAACACCGTATTTAAAAACGTACATTGTGCAACAATAACCATTACATTGCACAGCTCATGGCAAATTAAATGAGGTTCTCAGCAAAGTTAAATAGGCAATTAACATGATGGCATAAATAAAGCTGTCCTGAATGACATATATATGGGATGTTCTATCAAACTATTTGTTTATCATTCATCAGCAGATAGGTAAGAAATAACATAAATTATACAGCCTGGTTCATTTAATTAAGCTATGCTTTATCTTTTTCCATGCAGGTTAATAATTACAAACAGCTAAACCTCCTGTGTGCTATAATGTTAGTTGCTATAGGGTATTGCATTGCTTCCTTACACATAACAAAAGGTCACATGCATGTAGCAAGGAAGTGTTAATAACATAAAATCTCTGAAGGATAGTCCAGATGCTATATGTATTCCCATAAGTTATAAAAAGCTAAATCCACCTTTTCCAAAAAAAAAAAGAATAAATGCAGGTTTATTTGAATGAAAAATGTGCACTTATTATTTCTTTGCAAATGAGCCTGCAAAGCATTGCAGCCGTGGATCACTGTCCAATGCACAGGCTCTTGCAGACTCTTCCTTCAGCTTCCTTCAGACAGAGGGACTGACTTTCAGTTGGAGAGCTTGAAGATGTGTCATTGGACTACAAGTGTAGGAATCACCATACTTGTGTTCCATTGAGAACTAAATGTCCATCTCCTGTGGTGGCAGGTGGGACTTGTAGTCCGTTCATTCACAGAACGAATAGCTGCGAATGAATGCTGCAAAATTTAAAAGCAACTTCTACCGTGGTGTAGAATAACCCTCACGCACTGTCAGAGGGTGGCTGGTTTTGGGGTGGGGATGTCAATTTGCAACAATAGTACCATATTTTAGGGTGTAACAAGTACATGTTACATGGTCTACAATGTGAAGTTAGACTTTAAACAACCTTTAAAGAAAAAAACAAAGGTGAACTAACACCGTCTATCCTTCCCACTCTCCCCGTTCCTCACTGTACTTTACTCCAGGGTTGGTGAGCTGTCAGCAACCCCATAGTCAATCCAGTGGTCTGGGGAGTTTAAATTCCTGCTCTTCTCCATCTTCTCCAGTTCTCCGCTTCTCAGATGGACCAGTTTGATTTACTGTGATGGCGGAAATGATCTGGTCCTTCCTGGACCTGGAGAAGAGTAGAGATTTCAAATCTCCAGACCACTGGACTGGCTGCGGGGGGTGCTGACAGCTTAGCAATACCAGAGGTATGTACAGCAGGAACTGGGGGGTAGAAAGGGTGTACAGTGTTATTTCACCTTTACATATTTTCTCCAAAGGTGAACTCAAATTTTAAGCTTATAAAATTTAAACATTTTTAAAATACACTGCTCAAAAAAATTAAAGGAACACTTTGTAATCAGAGTATAGCATCAAGTCAATTAAACCCTGGGATATACTGATATGGTCAGTTAAGTAGCAGGTTGTTAATCAGTTTCAGCTGCTTTGGTGTTAATGAAATTAACAACAGGTGCACTAGAAGGGGAACAATGAGACAACCCCCAAAACAGAAATGGTTTTACAGGTGGAGACCAGTTAAATTTTTTTCCTTACTCATCTTTTCTGACTGTTTTTCACTAGCTTTGCATTTGGCTAGGGTCAGTGTCACTATTGGTAGCATGAGGTGATACCTGGACCCTACAGAGGTTGCAGAGGCAGTCCAATTCCTCCAGGATGGCACATCACAGCACAGTCTCAGGAGCATGGAGGAGATTCCAGGAGACAGGCAGTTACTTTAGGAGAGTTGGACAGGGCAGTAGAAGGTCCCTAAACCATTAGCAGGACCAGTATCTGCTGCTTTGTGCAAGGAGGAACAGGATGAGCACTGTCCGAGCCCTACAAAATGACCTCCAGCAGGTCACTGGTGTGAATGTCTCTGACCAAACAATCAGAAACAGACTTCATGAGGGTGGCCTGAGGGTCCGACGTCCTCTAGTGGGCCCTGTGTTCACTGCCCGGCACCATAGAGCTCGATTGGCATTTGCTATTGAACACCAGAATTGTCAGGTCCGCCACTGGCACCCTGTGCTTTTCACAGATGGGAGCAGGTTCACCCTGACCACATGTGAAAACATGAATAGTGGAGAATGTTATGTTGCCTGTAACATCGTTCAGCATGACTGTTTTGGTGGTGGGTTAGTGATGGACTTGGGAGGCATATCCATGGAGGGACTCACAGACCTCTACAGGCTAGACAATGGCACCCTGACAGCCATTAGGTATCGGGATGAAATCCTTGGACCCATAGTCAGACCCTATGCTGGTGCAGTGGGTCCTGGGTTCCTCCTGGTGCATGATAATGCCTGACCTCATGTGGCAATAGCATGCAGGCAGTTTCTGGAGGATGAAGGAATTCGTACCATTGAATGGCCCCCACGCTTGCCAGATCTAAATCCAATAGAACACCTCTGGGATATCATGTTTTGGTCCATCCGATGCCACCAGGTTGCACCTAAGACTGTCCAGAAGCTCAGTGATGCCCTGGTCCAGATCTGGGAGGAAATACCCCAGGACACTATCCATCGTCTTACTAGGAGCATGCCCCGACGTTGTCAGGCATGCATACAAGCACGTGGGGGGCCATACAAACTACTTAGTACCATTTGAGTTGCTTCAATGAAATTTCAGCAAAATGAACTAGCCTGCTGCATCATTTTTTCACTTTGATTTTCAGGGTATCTTTGAATGCAGTCTTCTGTGGGTTGATAATTTTCATTTCCATCAAACGATGAGGCATCCTTACATCCCTAACACATTACACAGTCCATATCAGTATAGATATCCAGCATTATATTTTCCCCATTGAGATCTGATGTGTTTCTTTTAATTTTCCAAAGTGTTCTTTTGTTCTTTTATTTTTTTGACCAGTGTGTTTTAATACTGCCTGAATTATGATAAGCTTTATCAAATGTTACTGTGTGGCCTATCCTCTTCATCTGACATGACTGCAGAAGACATTAACAGACATGTTTTCACTAAGGGAAGCCAGCTGTGACTCCTTGTGGCTTTACATTCCGGATTCCCCACTTTGTGTGCATGAGCCTCGCTGTACTCTGTGAATTTTCCTGCAGCCTTAAGGGATCTGTGATATGTCTTATAAGGTTGCAGGCAGGGGGGAGAACTTCGGCTTTGATTGTATAGGTGGTTGGAGTGGAAATAGAAGCCAGTACCTACTAAAACTAAATACCCGCTCCCCCCTCCAAGTTTAATTAGAGTGGAGATTGCGAGCCAGGCCTTCTCGTCCGATATCATTGCCTGACCTCAGAAATGCGCTTCTGGAAGAATGGTCAAACATTCCCATAGACACACTCCTAAATCTTGTGGACAGCCTTCCGAGAAGAGTTGAAGCTGTTATAGCTGCAAAGGGTGGGCCAACTCAATATTGAACCCTTCGGACTAAGACTGCGATGCCACTAAATTTCATGTGCGTATAAAGGCAGGCGTCCCAATACTTTTGGCAATATAGTGTGTGTGTATGTATGTATGTATATATATATATATATATATATATATCAATCCGCCACTATAACCTGTCAAAGCATGGACTAGACATATGCGGTTCGTGTTACTTAGAATCATAACACAAATTTTCCATTATTCGGAGATTTGAATGTATCAAAAGTAACAAATTTTAAATAATGGAATGAAAGTTGGACGAAATATGAATCAATTAGAATTAGAAAACAAATTTGAATTAAAAAACAAACAAATAGTGTTGAAGATGCTGCTGGAAACACCATAAGAATGAAGGTGGCCAGTGTACCTTGCACAAACCGCATGTGAGGATCCACCCTCCAGCACATCCAGCATATGGGGATCCACCCTCCAACACAACCCTGAACCATAAACTTGATTGGCATGCATGGGCTTGAATGCTGAGGAGAGTACTTGCGATACACAGGCAGCCAGGGGCTTGAATGCTGAGGAGAGTATCTGGGATATACAGCATTGGCTATAATACATGCCTTTGTATTTTCGCCCTCTGGTGAGTGCATAGAGGTGGAGGATTGCACACTGCTGGTGAAAAGGTGGAGAAGTTTTTTGAACTTTGGGACTTGCTCATTTAGATATACACTATACTGATTGGACACATGTAAATTGTAGCACCATTGATTGATTCTTTATAGTTATTGTATTATTAATTTATCCATTTATGATATACTGATGTGGAACTTGTGACACCAATTACATTGGAGGTGTCCCTTTTCTTTTTCACTTTTTGCACTAGTATAATGATTGGGTTTTATTTACAAGTAAAATGTTATGTGTATGTCACAGGGATATTTATTTTAACAATTGTAGTATGATCCTCCTGCGCTCCTAAATAAATTGCTATTGACCGTGGGGAGCTGCTAACACCCAATTATATACCATATGAAAAAATACAACAAATAAATCAAATAGTGCAGTGCGAACCTATAAATAAGACAGGTTTAAGACAGGTCATAGAAATTCTCCATAGATACTTGTGGTGCCACTCAAGCAGTGTTTCACTGGAAGGTGAGGGTGCAGCCTGTCAGATGCTTGATCCAGAGAGCAGTATAGCATGAGGAATTGAAGGATGCAACAGGTGAAGAGGAAGGTAAGCGGCCCCAGCCTTAGACTCTTTCTATGCCACACACCTGATGCATTTTGCTCCACCCACCAGGGGCTTAGTTGTGGAGGTCTGGCTTACAAGGAGTCTTAGGTTGAGGCTGTTTACATTCCTTTTCATCTTTTGAGCTAGTGAAGTGCGGCATCCTTGAATCTCTCAAAGAAATTCTCCAATCAAGCAGCTAAATACACTGTCCAAATTCAAATATTTAATGTTTTACATGTCAAAAGGTGTGAGAAACACTGTCACTATCACAAGAGTAAAAAGCTTGTATAAAGTCCTCTTTGTATAGCAACTATATAATACTTCCCCGTCCTACCACCCACCTCCGAGATCTTTGCTTTCTTGAAGAGCTACATTCACTGATGAAAGTTCATCATGCAACACAATTCCTGGTGTGTCAAATCCTGAAAATTCTTTACCAAGCTTCCTCACCCAAAAGACGCACTGTATCCAGGGACCAGCTACATCTGTTTTTTTAAATATTTATCATAATGGTTTAGATTTGATAGGTATTACATTTAGAGGTACAGCTAATATATCAGTGCCGCCCACCTGTACCCATCAGTGCCACCCACCTGTGCCCAGCAGTGCCACCCATCAGTGCTGCCCAGCATCAGTGCCCAGAAGTTTCTGTCAGTGCCACCCATCAGTGCCCATCAGTGCTACCCATCCGTGCAGCCTATCAGTGCAGTATCATCAGTGCCTCCTATCAGTGCTGCCTATCAGTGCTGCCAATCGGTGCTGCCTATCCTGCCACCTCATCAGTGCCCATCAGTGCTGCCTAATAGTGCAGCCTCATCAACACACATCAGTGAAGGAGAAAAATTACCTGAAAAAAATTCATATTAGAAAACAAAGAAAAACTTTTTTTATTCAAATTTGTTTTTGTTTATAGTGCAAAGAATAAAACACCCAGTGGTGATTTAAATACCACCAAAAGAAAGCTCAATTTGTGTGAAAAAAATAATACAAATTTCATGGGTACAGTGTTGCATGACCGTGCAATTGTCATTCAAAGTGCGACAGCGCTGGAAGCTGAAAATTGGCCTTGGCAGGAAGGGAGTATAAGTGCCCAGTAGGCAAGTGGCTAAAAACTGAAAAAATATGTTTTATATTTTTTTTTATTCTTGATCATAGTAGAAAAAGAAATAAAATATATGCAAAGCCTTTGTATATTTCCTTTAAGGGGTTATACAGACAATAGTTATTAAATAAATCATGATTTAGATAAGTAAAGGGAAAAGACCCTGAATTAATAATACAAATAATACCTGCAGAAGTTCTTGTGCATTTCCGCTGTGTTTGAAAACCTGCTGTTCTGTACAAAGCTCTGGTGCTTCCAGGTAGTGTCGGAGCTTGCCCCCCCCCCCACACACACACACACATTCCTTTTTGCCCATCATTATTGTGGGACGTCTTATTAGCCAATAGGGATGTGGGGCTCGGAGGGAATGGGCAAGCACTCTATGTGGTGGTGTTGCAATGTTGCCCATTTGGAAGGGCCTGCTACCTACAGGGACAGAATGTAAAGAGAAATCTCCTCAGTCGGGTTATATAAAAACCTGATGGAATTTTTGACATATCCCCGAATAATGAACACAGGTTGCCAAGTATTACATCTCAAATGGTTAAAAAAAGGTCCCAAAGGAGAATAAATAGAAAAAGTAGCACACGTTCTTACTCTTCTCGACCCTATCATGGGAACAGTGCCTTGCTTTTGGGGCACATGGTCTCCAGCAATGTTTATGATCTTTGAGGGCTGACTCAAGGACACTTTTTGGATAGAATCTGCTCTTCTTTATACTGTCAGAGTCCACATGAACGATGAAAGCAATTTGGACCCTTTATTATATAAATACATCCTTGCCAAAAAAAACTGGCACACCTGCATATCTGTCAGATAATGCACCACTTCACCCAGAAAATTGTTGCAATTAAAAATGTTTGACAGAAATGCAGAAATTACAAATATCTGACAGAAATTCAGGAGTGCTAATATTTTTGGCCATGACTGTATGTATATATATATATATATATATATATATATACAGTATATATATATTTAAGAAAATTGTTATTATACTCCATCCTCCTGACCCCTCCAGGACCACCCATAACTAGCTCATAAATCTAGGCTAAAGGCGTTCCCTCACAAGCTTCACGACGGACGCCAAGGGTTGGAGACTCAGGCTGACATAAGGAGAATCCAGAAAAGAAAAATTATCGTAAGTATAACAATTAACCTTATTCCTGGACCTCCTTACATCAGCGTACTACGACACATAACTAGCAATGACAACATGAAAACAAGAGGGAACAAGCGAAACTAGGACCAGAAAATTGCTGCTTAATCATACAGAGATTTAATGATTCACAACTGCAAAAATGACTGTCGCAGGTTGTTAAAGCGGTACACCTTGAGATATGTTTTATGTTCTCAACCACCATCCCAGGGACTGAGCAATAGGAGAAGGAATGATAATTCTTTGCATAGAAAATGGCAATCACACTGCTGGCGAAAGTTGAATTGGAAGCGCATTTGATGCCATCTTGCCCATGGGACTACTGGAATTACCGAGGACAAACAGCCTAGCAACTGCATACATTACCTCGCTGGCAAACTTCTCTGCTGCATTAGAGCTCTCGTGCAACTCTGGATCTCTACAATTTTCTTCTGAGGAAGGAAAACCTTGCCTAGATCTTGAAGAAGACTTCTAGATACTCCAAGGTCTGAAAAGGTTGGAGATGGCTCTTGCACTGATTACTAACTAGTCAAACTGATTCAGAGTTTCGCATGTCAAGGAAACTTTTCTCCATGACCTGTTTCATGCCTCCCAAAATGAGAATATTGTCCAAATAATGGAAAATTTTAATTCTTTTGAGACTCAACAATGTGATAATTACCAACACCTTCTCGGAGCTGTGCATAGTCCAAAAGGAAGTCACTGAAACTGCTAATGAGTGCCTTTGACTGCAAACCTTAAAAAAAGCTAGTGACTCGGGTCCACGGGCACATGAAGGTACGTAAGTCTGGCTGCCATGCAAACTTTATCTACCGCCACCTTTGCAATAAAATTTGCTGAAAGGTGTAAAAGTTGCAATGGTGAAGAACCAGACCTCCTCTGCACTCCTACAACCAAAACTGAATCTAGCTCGTGTAGCACCCTCCTAGGTGGCTTCTAGGGTTAGATAGATAGATAGATAGATAGATAGATAGATAGATAGATAGATAGATAGAGATAGAATTAGATGTGTTTTGATAAATTTTGAAAAAGCATAGTTAACTCACTGTACTTGGTGAGCTGTGATCATTTTTTTGTTAGGTGAGCTCTGCTGCTTCTAGTGTGCCTAGCTTCCTCTTTATCCAGGAAACTTTAGAACTATCTCCATGAGAGATGTGGAATTTTGCACAGCCTATCCCAGAAAGAGGAGTTCTAAGGCATGTTGCGTGACTATAAATATATTCAGTGAGTACACAGGGCTCTGGGTTCTTTCCTGTCCAGGACGGATCCAGCCTGGGAAAGGGCACATTGCCCTCCCAGGCAGCTTATGCCATGTGGCCTCAGGTGGGTGACCTGAGGCCTGAATCCTGAGACCCGGGTTCTGTTATGCTACTGAGGAGTTGTCTACTGAAGATATGGTCAGGTATCATGGAGGATACAGCTGCTTTTGGGCCTTGTAAGTACAAACATCCCTAAAGGATCTTAGAGACTGAGTGGTGTGTAACCCTCTCTGGTGCTAGGAAGCAAGCTGTGTGTCTAGCAAAGAGCTTTGTCCATCTGGCCTACTTTTAAAGGAACACTGCTTTGGGGCTCTAAAGAAGTTACTGCTACAACGTTTTACTACTACTGCTACTGAAAAGCTGAAGTCCACAGTTTGATTCTGACACAGTTTGCCCTGAAGATTAGATAAAGTCCTCAAGTGTAGTTTTTATTTTTGGAGTATCCCACTCATTTCCTTAATCCCTATCCAAGTTCTCCCAAAAATTAAAAAGCAACATAAACATTACCTATAAACTGGTTATTGGAGAAACATGTGAAAGAGCCTGTGTTCCTGGCTGGAGGTCAAAATAACTGGGGGGGACGGGACCTGGACAGTATTTCTCCTGCTCCTACGGGAGTAGTGCTACACTCAGAAAGCCAAACCACTAGAGCCATTGCCATGGATGTCAAAGCCACAGTTGGCATACATGCTGCTCCTGCCAGTGAGAAAATCCTCTTGAGGTCCCTATTGACTCTCCTATCCATGGGGGCCCTAAAGGATAAAGCGTTGTCAATAGTAAGTATGCATTCACCTTAGGGAGTGTATCCCATAGCTCAGAGGCCTTTGTTTTAAAAGGATATCATTTCCAGCCACGCCTCCTGCTGCAGCCAATGAGGCAGCCTGAAACTCTGTCAGTTGCCTAGACCAGAGTCCCTGCTGGTACCGCCTCTCCACACCGAGCCACGAGGGAAGATGGAGGACAACAAGTTCCAGCCATCCCAACCAGAGTAGGAAAGGAAGGGAAAACTGCCACACCCGCCAACCATCACAAGCAGCACTTTATGCTACTATAAGTCACATTGCTGAGCTCCCAGGCACCTGTTATTTAAGAGCCTTGCAACTTAACACAGGGGTCTTCCACCCAGGAGAGGCTGTACCTGGGCAGTTGTCAGCTTTATCATCTTCTACATCCACTGAGTGTTCTGGGGTGAGGATGAAAAAAAACTGCATGTGGGGGCGCTTAATTATGGGTGGTCCTGGAGGGGTCAGGAGGACGAAGCTGAGGAGGTCCAGCAAAAAAAAATTGTATATATATATATATATATATATATATAAATCTAAAAAGTAAACATGCATTTTTATTTCACAGGGCTCAGATTTTCATGACTTGCCCCCCAGAAGAAACCCCCTCCTGTCCATCTGTCTACCCAGAGGTCATTCTGAAAAGTAATGCATTGGATTTTGTAGGTACAGCATGCATGTAGGGCAGTTAAGGGATGGTTTAGACATTAACATACAAAAAACGATTTCTAAAGCACAGTGCCACTAATATCTAAGCCCATGTTCACTTGCACTGTGTCTAAATGACAGCCCTATTTATTCATAGTGAAAAATGGAGCCTGTCATTCATGCAGGAAAATGTATTTTATTGTAGAGGAATCTTGAAGCAGTGAGGTATGTCTATAACACGAAGGTCATTGTTTATTGTCAAATGAGCTATTATGGTGCGTAGAGACCACCAAGTCACAGGTAAAGAGGAATTGTTTTACAATTTGCTCTAGTTAATGGTCTGTGAGCTCTATGAGACCCATAAACAAAGTCAGAGATAGTGTATTGTATACTGTAGCTTGAGAATTTCTAATATTGTTGGAGGATGGAGGATGAGCAAGCTATGCTGGGACAAAGGCTACAGATAACAATATTATCTGGGTCCCTGATATGTTACTTATATATAGCTTTAAATAATTAGATATTTTTTTATCATTTGCAAAAAGAAAGAATTGTTATGTGTAGACAATTAACCACCAATCAAATTAAAAACCAAGTTGTAACATTACAGTTGTAACAAAAATGTCTAAAATGGCAGCTATAGCTCTGGTACTATGGGCTGTCAGTGACAGTGAGGGTCCAGCACTAAGCCCAGGGTTTGAATCAGTCAACTCCTGGGCTTCCAATCCTGCTACACGGCACTCCATAGGAGAGCTCTGTAGTAGAGGATGTGAGCACTGCTTCCAGATTCTATTTACATACGAAGTTAAAGTATCTTTACACTTTTGCTAACTATCTTGAGAAAACCCACTATATATTTGCTATGTATTCCCATTCAAA